ATTTTAAGGGGAAAATACGTATTGTTACACTGAAATAATCCAAAGATAAAAGACAAGTTTTATTCTCTTTTATTTAAGAGAGAGAATCGACCACTTTCAAACATCAACGCAGCTTTTAAATGTATTTTCTGGTTAATAGGCTTCATGTTTACTCGTCTAAACTCTGAACTGTTTAACTGCTRCCCTCTCAGACACACAGGCGCCCCACATATACCAGAAATGGATTCTAGCTGCCTTCCCCTAAAATATTTATTACTCCAGAATCCCATTACCGTCTGTCTGACAGAACAGTAAGAGGTCACAGAAGAGCCAGAATGATTTTCCTCTTTTCCGCCTCAACATCAGCTGTCAATCAGCCGGCTGACCTTCCTGCGCTCTTCAACGTTATCCCTGACATTTGGTTCTGGATTTTTTTTCTGAAATCTAAACCTCAGATTGTCAATCTGGGAACAAATCTGGACGAAAATTCAGAATTTCAAACCAATAAAAGGATAACTATTATTTTTGTCAAACTGTCYTACTGTTTTAGGCCATCCTTACCCAGTTTTATTCTCTGGGTTTTATGGTATCTTAAATAAAACTACATTTTGTTATCAAACAAAACAACAATTACAAGCCAAGGAAGAAAAAAAGTTGGGTGTTGATGAGAGAAGTGGCTGCAGCTGTGTCAGGAGGAGTGTAGATCGGTGTGGCAAGGTGGCCTAAGAGGGGAACGTGGCCGATGGCTCAGAGGAACCAAAGTGACCAAAAACTAAACACAAGAGGACAAAATGATGAACTGAAAACACAAAAATATCTAAGACAGAAAAAAAAAAACAGATTTGTGATGTTTTTTAATGTAATACTGGTTTATAAGATCATGGTCCAACTGTGAACCATTAAAGAAGACACAAAGCTCAACTCAAAGGCTGCAGGTTTTAGTTAACTTGTTAAAATTTCATTTAAAAAAAGGATTCAGCACCTGTTTGGACAGGACTCTTCTTTCCAAAACTATCATGGCAGCAAACCTTTGTATTTCAGCTGGTTGTCAAGTTTCAGCTGGTCGTAAAGTTTCAGTTGGCTGTAAAGTTTCAGCTGGTTGTAAAGTTTCAGCTGGTTGTAAAGTTTCAGCTGGTTGTAAAGTTTCAGCTGGTCATAAAGTTTCAGTTGGCTGTAAAGTTTCAGCTGGTTGTAAAGTTTCAGCTGGTTGTAAAGTTTCAGCTGGTTGTAAAGTTTCAACTGGTTGTAAAGTTTCAGCTGGTTGTAAAGTTTCAACTGGTTGTAAGGTTTCAGCTGGTCATAAAGTTTCAGCTGGTTGTAAAGTTTCAGCTGGTTGTAAAGTTTCAGTTGGCTGTAAAGTTTGAGCTGGTTGTCAAGTCTTAGCTGGTTGTAAAGTTTCAGTTGGCTGTAAAGTTTCAGCTGGTTGTAAAGTTTCAGCTGGTTGTAAAGTTTCAGCTGGTTGTAAAGTTTCAGCTGGTTGTAAAGTTTCATTTGGCTGTAAAGTTTCAGCTGGTTGTAAAGTTTCAGCTGGTTGT